ATCCCTTCCAGCCATCATTGAATTGTGATAATCAGTTTGATCTTATCTGTGGATAATTTTAAAGCCGAAAGTACTTTACTGAAGCAAGCCCCACTGCCTGAAATGGGTAACAAACATCAGTCAAGCTCGGCTATTTAATGAATCACTAAATATCCATGTACAAGAATTTAAACAAGGATAGAGGCTTCTTGTATTTTTGGGGAAGCAAAAGTGGTTAGAAACCCTGAATTGCACTCCACAGAGTGGTAGCCAGCAATCATCATAGTACTGCCCAGTGCCTTACTCTGCTTTTGTGTGTGTTCCTGGGGTCTGGGTTCAAATCCTCGTTGCCTCTGGACTTGCAAGAATGAATCTAGGAGCTGTGCCATCGTCTGTTCTGGCTGGAAAAATGTTACTAATTCAGCTGTGGTTCTTGCTCTGTCTGAGATTTGCTCACTTCATGCCGCCTTCTTCCTCAAGCCTCATCCTCCTTTTAAAAAAATTCTCTTCTCTAGAACATGCTCTGTACCCAGTGAGCAGGGGGCTGATTTGCATGAAGGGGCAGTTCTCCAGCTCTGGGGGTTTAAGAGAGAATCGGAGGGTCCCAGCCACAGACCCATTTGCCTCAGGAAGCCGAGCTCGTCTGGATCCACCATGGCCTGGGCCCCTCTGCTCCTCGCGCTGCTCACTTACTGCTCAGGTCAGCTGGGCGGGTTTATGTTCAGTGTGATTGTTATGGAGGAGGTGACTTTTCAAGGAATAAAGGAACTGAATTAATAATACTGTGTTTGTAATGTTGATTTCAGGGGTCAGTTCACAGCCCGTGGTTAATCAGGAGCCCTCAGTGTTCATTACCCCAGGAGGGGCTATCACTCTGTCCTGCAGCCTGAGCACTGGAGCCATCACCACCAGCAACTATCCCTCCTGGTACCAGCAGAAACCAGGCTCTGCTCCTCGGATGCTTATATATGAAACTAGTAAGAGACCCTCCGGGATCCCTGCCCGGTTTTCTGGGTCCATTTCCAGTAACGACGCTGCCCTGACCATCACCGGTGTCCAGGTAGAGGATGATGCTGACTATTACTGTGCTGTGTATACGGGTAGCAGTGCTGCACTGTACACAGTGATACAGCGAGGTGGGGAACTGAGATAAAAACTTCCCCTTTTCTCCCCCTCTCTCTGCACTGGCTCTGCTGGGAACGGTGCAGGCTGCAGTCTGGCTTCTGACGAGAAAAAGTCCGACTGCTGATTATAATTCCAATTATAATTCCAGCCCTTCTCTCCCGGGTGGTGTGGCCCTTTCCTGCCTCTCTTTGCACAGGGAACAGCTCTGCCCTGTTCTCTAATC